TTGGCATCTTCCACAAACTTCTGCGTTCTCCTCCGGACATTCTCAGAATCTGCCAGAGCTTTCCGGTACCGTTCCTGTAACAGCACAAGGAGACATCAGACAATGACATAAAACTGATTTTTCTGACAAAACTGCAATCCTTCAGATACCACTGAAAAAGAAGCCATTACAAACCAGAAGGTTTGCACTGGGCTCCAATATTTTCATTAGAACATGCAAAGCCAATCCCTCTCCTACTGATTAATCAGCACAACTGCAACCCCCTCAAAAGACCCAAGGCCAAAAGCACTCAGAGCTCAGCACATTGTCAGGCTGCTGCTTTCTGCATGACTCACTGCGCACGCTGAGATGCTCCTTTCCCAACAGGCAGGTCTTAGCAACAGATCTGTAACAAGCTAATTTGTCACTTGCTGAAGTTGTACTCTGGACAATTATCCCCAAGAACTGCCCTGTGCTGCAGTATTTATTCCTCTCACCAGCCACCAAAGCTGACTTCTCAGACAACACTGACCCACCAGGACAATCTGTGATACGAACCATGACAAAGCTACTGACATTCCCTCTGTACAATGCTGTGAAAGAACTGACCACAGCCCATCTCTGACATACAGTTTTGCTTGTTGGGATCAAATTGTCAGTGTTCTGCTCCCAGGAACTATGACACCTGGTGTTTGTAGGGAAGGCAGAGCTGCTCTGAATGCTGTCACAACACAGTACTATTGTGTGCAGGTTATGGCACTTACAGAACAAGATAAGGCTGAAAGTGAAAGTCAAGGGGCACAAATGAAAGTCAGTAACACCACCAGCTGCAAACTCACAGTTAAGTCCCGAACTTGCTCTTCCAACTTGATGGCTTTGTGCTCTAAGGCACAGTCAGAAAGGGGATGCTTCGGCTCATCACGAGGATCTTCTGGCCCACACTCATCTCCTGTACTTCTCTGCTGAGCTGCAGTGCTGAAAACACACAGGGACTCCCTGAAATACAAACTAGTGACAAGAAAGGGAAAGTTAAGTTCCAACACAGTCAAAAGAAAGAATTTCAGTTTAGCATCATTACTAAAAGCAGGCACACAGGATTCTAGGCAAGATTTTAGCTCTTTTCAAAGGAAATAGGCAGCTAGCACAGAAAACAGACAGATACTGTCACTGTATGCCACCTCCCTGACACACCTTGAAAAGGGTCAGATTTTGACAGAAGAACAATCTATTGGTTGCAGCGTTACTAACCTCCCACTACAGGTGGTCAGTAGCAGAACATAAACTTCCAAATTATTTTTGCAAGTTATTCTTGAAAAGGAGGCAGGTATTAAAGATGTTTTAACAAATACGTAAAAGAAAAAAACTGGGTAAGGATGGGTAGGACGGGTCCATGTCCCTCACTCCAGGGAGCCTCTTTTCTGCAGAATGAAGACTCAGGGCGTTAAACCAGCCAAAACCAAACTCAGCAGAAGTGCTTTCTGTGCAGTGTGCTCAAAAAAGTTTGCTGGGCCATCAGATGAGAGCAAGTGCCAGTACAAAGGAGAAGACATTGTGCAAGGTGTGGAGAGATGTGGGAGGGACAACGTGGGGAAGGGCAGAGGCGTCCCCTTTGGGTGCCTCAGACTGCTTTACCTGTGTGACCAAAGCACACATTAAGAGACACATCTACCCAAAGACCAACAAGCACCTCCTACCACTCCCTACTTGGCAGCTGAGGTGTGCCCTCATTTTATCTTGAATGAAGGGTTGCTAGATCTCCCACAGCACTAATGACAAACTGCCTCTTCCCCCTGAAGACATCTGCACCTACAGTTTTTATAGGTGGGTACATAAAACACGATCTGTGCACCAAACAGCTCCTATTCCTATTATGCACCAAACATCTGAGTGTTTCTGCTCAGTGCGTTTGCTCTGGAATAGAACATTCCTGGCACAGATCATTAAGGAACCAGGCAAGGGTTTGTCAAGGTGTGCTTCCCAATCAGCTGCCCAGCCACTGCCATTCTAGGTTCCCACAATGCCAAAGAAGAGAGAACCCAACATCCAGCAGAGGCTGCACAGAGATCTGTTTGGGGCACAGCACCCCACCTCAAGTGATGCCTGTCCCATCCGTTTTGCTGCCTGGTTAACAAAGTTACAGAAAGAGGATTTGGCCAGGGGTGAGGGAAGAGAAGTAACGCATTTGCCATGCCTTCAAAATCCATGAATGAACCTTTAATAACTGGAAGGCTTTATTTGTGGGGAAAGGCATGGCTGTGGTAAGCACTAACTGCAAGCCCTGTCCATCATCCTCTTGTGTTTCATTTGAAGAGCTGCAGGAAGGGAGGTCAGCCCTGCTGCAGACGAGCCAAAGAAGCTGAGTTCAGCTAAGAAAGCAGCGTTGCTAAGCACCTCACAGGTTAGACACCTTCAGCTTAAAAAAAACCAACACGATATAAACAAATGAACTCTTTTGCATCCAAGAAGTGAAGCCGACTGAGTCAATTCCATACACAGGTGATTCACAGCACACAGACGGGTGTGTTCCAGTGCGTAGGAGAGGGCCATGAGCGAGCTGTGTCTGCACTGGGGGCCCTGCCTACGTGAAGCAGAGAGCTGCCAGCATGGAGTGCTTCTCCAGCCAGTGAAACCAAGCTGCAGAGCACTGCTGAGCAGTGCAACGCCCCGGGTGCCGCGGGCTGTTCAGACAAGCCTGCCTCAAAAGTTGGAGGCAAGAAAAAAGAACCACAGGCTGACTCCAAAGGGAAACTTGAGGAGCGCGAAGCAGAACTGAAAATGCTGCTCAATTTACTTCTTCCTTGAGGATGAAAGAAACGCACCACTACAAAGGGCGAGTGCTCTTTACAGCCTGTCCTCTACCTTCTCAACGCAGTCCTGGTCGCAGCTGCCCTAAAAAGAGGTGGAATCCCACAGGAGGAAGCTGACACATCCTGAGGTGGGGAAATCCCAGTGGGTGTGAAAGGATCATAGGTGAAAGGATCATAGGACTACTGGCGCTTCAGGAAGATTTACACACTGATGTCAGAGGGCATGCAGATAGATGGAGGGGAGAAGCTGACTGCAGCCACGTGGCCGAAGTCAGCTGTGCTTAAAGACCAGAATTCTATGGCTGGGCACAGGCCTGCATTCAGAAGGTGTGCTGCAGCTTTCACACCTACGAAGCGAGCTGGAGGCGGCAGGGCTGCGTTCAGCCCCACACCCAGTGCTTCCATTAAGGCACCGCTTTATTAGTTCGTGTAGCCTTCTAGTTCTTTCCATAAGAAAAAAAGAACAACACACAAAAAAAAACCGCACCAACACCAGAATAAAGGACCGCCCATTTTGTTGGCTTTCCTTTCCAGCTGCCTGCATTTTATTGAAAAAACCAAACCCGCAGCTACGGATTCACTGCTGTTCTATAACTCAGACCCACGGCACCAAACCACGCCTGCCCGCACCGCAGGACACGACGGCCATCCCCGACCCCGCGCACCGCTGCGCTGAGCCGCCCGGAATCCCGCGTCACACGCACGGCGCTCCGCGTCCCTCCGTGCACCGCTCCAGCGGCACGGGGAGCCGCCCCGCAGGAAGGGCCGGCTGGCGCGGCGCGGCTCCGCGGGGCGGCCCGGCTCACCCAGCAGGACGGGACGGGACAGGCCCGGGCCCGCCGCGCCGAGCCCAGCCCCGCTCCGCCGCCACGTCCCGCTCCGCTCCCCGCCGCCCGCCCGCCCGCGGCCGCAGAGGCCCCGCGCCCACGCACCTGCCCTGCCGCGCCGCGCCGACGGACAGCCGAGCGCCGGCCCGCAGCGAGCGGCCGGCCATGCTCCCCGGGCCGCCTGCCGCCCCCGCCGCGACTACAGCTCCCGGCGCGCCCCGCGCCGCCCCGCCCCCCGCGGGTGGTGCCGCCGTGCCGCGGGCTGCGCTGCGCCCCGAGCGCGAGTCCCGCACCGCGGGGAGCCGGAGGGAGCTCGCAGCCCCGAACCCGCGGCCCACGCTGCCCCCGTGTGCGGAGCCCCGGGCCACGCTGGCCTCCCGTTGCGAGCAAGAGGAACGACACCAGTTCGCTCCCTGCAGCCAGGGGAGGGCTTTGCCAGTGCCGGTGGTTTTATTACAAGCTGCTGACCGAGTTATAAAAGCTGCGGCGAGCGCAAAGGGGCGGTGGGCGCTTTGTCGTCCCTGGCACACCGGCCTGGGCCTTCCCTTTTCGTTCCTCTCCCTGTTTCTGCCTGTGCTGAATTACCTTCCCCCATTCCTCCTTTGTGTCCCAGTCCTCTCACTTGAAAGCACTTTTTATTTTTTTATTTTCAAACTTCCCCTTGCTCCACATTGACGACGTGCTTTGGCAAACTGTGTCCCAGGCCCTTCTGCTCCCCTGAAAGCAGCACGGGGTTGGGGAGTCAGGCTGCCTCCAGCCTCAGCTCTTAACAGCACTACTGTGCTGCTCAGTAAGGTCAGAAGGTGCCTGCTGTTAATTTGCTGATGCTTGAGCTTTGTTCCCAAAGGAAGCAAGTGTGCCTGAAGGACAAGGAGGAGGCACTGGGTGAGGGCGTGCAGCTGACACACAGTGAGCCAGAGGCACAAAGAACCCTGAGATGAGACCCCGCGGAGCTGAGAGCAGTGAGAAGGTGAATTATGGGCATCTCCAAGGGATCAGGTCCTGAGCTCATAAACCCCAATGTCCAGGTAGCCACGAATCCCCAAAGAATCCAGTCACTTTGGAAAACACTAGCCAGGCCTCTGGTGTCCCTGGGGTAGAACATGGATCTCGATGAAGCAGAGCATCCGATGGCTGCATCAGTCCCACACGCTGTCCGTGTCACACAGGTATGTGCCTTGTGCCAAGCTCCTGGCCGTGCGGGAGGAACCCCCAGAGACAGGTTCCCCAGTAGTATGTGACCCTGATTACCAAAGGACTCCTCTTCCCCATCTTCTTCCCCAGTCATAGAATGGCTTAGGTTGGAGGGGACCTTAAAGATCATCTTGTTCCAACCCCACTGTCATGGGCAGGGTTGCCAACCACTAGATCAGGCTGCCCAGAATCCCATCCCACCTGGCCCTGAATGCCTCCAGAGATGGGGCATCCACAGCTTCTCTGGGCAGCCTGTTCCAGCACCTCACCCCACTGTGTAAATTCCCTCCCGCCCCCTTCCCCACAGTTCATAGTGTTGCCCATGTGGCAGGCACTGTAGCGCAGGGGCAAGGGAGGGCACTTCTCCCCATCCCTGGGAGAAAGGGGCCTTGTAGCTCCTCAGTGGGCCACAGTGTCCAGTGGGGCCTGGCAGATGTTCCCACTGCCTGGTTTAAGTCTGCTTCTTTTCCCATTCCTGCAACAGAAAAGGAGAAAAAGAGGGGTATGAGGAGACATCAGAGCCTGGAGGAATGAGCACTGAGCCCTTTGAGGCCTCCTTCCCTCCCAGGGGCTTTGGACCACCCCAGCATCTCCAAAGGCTGGTGAGTACTTCCCTGGGCACTGAAGAGGTGATACTTTCACTGTTGCCCACCCAGCCCTGGGACCCTCAAATCTCCTGCAGGCTAGGCTCATGTCAGTCGCCTCTGCCACTGAAGGGGACCAGCCTAGATGCAACCCAGGCAGCATCCCTTGTGTTTGGAGTAAGGAGCATCCACAATCCCCCGAATTCTTGGTCAAATATGGGGACAGGATGAAAAACTGAGATTTCCTTGGGGGCAAGGGGAGAGAGAAGGAGTGAAGCAGGACCTTGGCCTTCCTCAGCACATTGCCCTTGTTGGCAGGAAGGATGGAGGGGCTTCTCTTTCTCAGTTCAGCTGCACTGTTAACAGGAACCAAGTGCTCAGGGGGGCTCCCATTTGGCTTGTTTGTAGCTTCCTGTGGAAAAGAGGGAAAATAAGAAGGATTTACAAAACCCAGGGAGCAGAAAGTGCCAAGAAAGCACAAACTGTCATGGAGTCAAAGCTGATGTCAGTGCTTTCTTCCCACCTCTAACCACAAAGTGACAAAGATCAGGGGTGTCCCCTCATTTCCACGTGCTGCTTGCCCCCACCCCAAACCCCTTTGCAGATGCCAGAGTAGCAAGGAAGAAGGGGTGCGTACCCCATTCTCAGCCTTGCTGGTCACAGCCAGTCCCAGGGCCGGCCCTCCTGCCAACGACTGCTTCAGCTGCTCCTTCACTTCGCTCAGCTGGAGCTCCAGGTCGACGCGGCGCTCCTCCTTCTGCCGGCATTGCTCCTCCAGCAAAGCCACACGCTGCTCCAGGTCCTGCAGCTTCACTCCTGATCACACAAGTGCTCGGTTCAGTGGTTGAGGTTGCTGGGCTGGGCAGCCATCCATCCTCTTGGGTAGTGACACTAGATGGGGCTGCTGGCCCAGCAGTGTGCTGCAGCCAAGTCTGAGCATGGTCACAAGTGCCACGGCCTCGCTGCCAGCCCTGCATTCCCATCCCGGCCCTTCCCACCGTACCCGGGTGCCTTTGAGCACCCTTAGCCACAGTATGCAACCTACCTGAGCTGCCTTTCATGGCTTCCCGCAGCTCCCTCCTCTCTTTCCGCAGCAGCACCAGCTCACTGCGGATTGCTGCTTTTTCCTTCTCCAGCTTATCCTTCTCTGTTAGAAACCGCCTGGCATCCTCCTCAGCCCGGTTCTTCCCATACCTGTACTGGTTGGCATCTGCATGCACAAGGAGAGCCCATCACAATGGCTCCAGCCTAAGCAAGCCCCACCTGAGCCCAACCTGAGCTGCAAGGACATTTCTCATGGTCCCAGCAGGCTGGCACAGCTCAACCCAGGACGCCTTGGTGGGATCAGCCTCCACACAGAGACCGCAGGCTTCCCCCATTCTGAGGGTCCCATCGCAGACCCCCACTCACTCGATGCGTGTCTCTTCACTTTGACCTGCGGGTCAATTCGCCGTGACTTCTCGCTGCAGGAGGAGGCATGGCGCTTCACCTGGGCTCCTGCTGGCCGTCCCGACTCCTCCTCAGCCTGTGGTGGGGACAGGAGAGTGTGCTGAAACACCTGTGGGACTGCCACAACTCACTAAGGCTCCCAGAACACCTCCTCCACAGCGGTGGGACATGGTGAGGCCCTGAGTCACGCTCACCTGAACCTTCTCGTAGGGGACATCATCATACACCACGCGGGAGGAGTCGGGCTGGCTGTCCTGGGAGCTGCTGGCCCACCTGTGGGACGAGGGATGGGTGTGCCATGGCTTCCTTTCCAGGACATCCCTGCCAGCACCACAATGGGCTCTTTGATATCACTGTTCTCCCAGCTCTGGGCGGGGACACAGCTTTGCTTCTGAGTACTCACCCTGCCCTACCCAAGCACACATATCCCTTAGGTTCTTCATCAGCATAACTAAAGAATCATACAGTCATAGAGTCATAAAATGTCTTGGGTTGGAAAGGACCTCAGTAATAATCTCATTCCAACTCCTGAGCCACGAGTAAGGTTGCCAGCCATGAGTAGGGTTGCCAATTACTAAATCAGGCACTAGATCAGAATGCCCAAGGGCCCATCCAACCTGGCCTTGAATGGGGCATCCATAACTTCTCAAAAAGCACTTTCTAATTTCAGTCCTGCCAAGGGAAGATGCCTTGCTTTAAGAAATGCCAGCCTCTGGGATGTCCCTTCTATTTCCTGGGATCTTGAGAAAACCCAGGAGCCCAGGATGAGGCTCACCATCCCACCCCATTGTGGTTTAGCACAGCAGGAGGAAAGTCTTACAGGTAGGAGTGCCTCACAGCTGTCACAATGTTAGCAATGGTCTCCACATCCACGTAGTCATAGTGCAAGGCCTCCGGTGCAGTTTGGGAGCCCGTCACCACCAAGAGAAGGCCCAACCAGCGGCCCAGGTCTTCTGAGCAGCTTGCCTGTGGAGAGAGAAGGGGCTGGGGAGCATGCCTGGCTTCAAGTGACCCTCACTCCTACTCCAAATCACAAAGCCTTACTGCAGGGAAGGGCTCGTTGATGCAAAGCACATGTGCAAGATTTAGGAGGATCAAAGAGAAAGCATGTGCATTCCCAAGCCCCCAGCAAGCTGCCTATTTCAGCCCTTTTGGCCTCCTCCCTGCACATCACTGCACCATAAAGGCACCCTGGGCTTCAGCAGTGTGCACAGGAGGGGAAAGCAAGGCACCATGTGCTGGCTGCTGAAAGGGCTGATTTTCTCCTAATAAAAGCTGGAACAGCAAGTAAAGGTGAACTTGGGACAGAAGAGCGTTGGTAGCACTCTAATGGGGCTGAGCATCTCCAGACTGGGCTCCATCCAAAGAATGATGTTTTAGTGAACATGCTGGCCATTTAGCGGGCATGGCAATGATGGATTGACAATTGGACTAGATGATCTTAGAGGTCTTCCTATGACTCCAAGGTGCTCCCCCAGCATGACAATCCCCCCAGGAACGTCTCCAGGGAGCTGGTGTGCCCCGCTCACCTCTAGAGCGGCCACCTCCTGCCCACTGCGCAGGATACGGAATGCAAAGGGGTGTTTGGGGCCCAGTCCTGGGACCACCTCACAGCCCCGGAGGTTGATGGCATTGACGTGGGTGCGCAGGTCGGTGCGGTCCTTGTGGAAGTAGAGGGTGTTGGCCTTGAGGCGGCACCAACGTTCCTTCCAGCACTGGTTGACCAGGACGCTCAGGTAGCCTGGGAACAGAAGAGTCTCAGCACCATTTTGGAGCCCCAAGGAGTGCCCTAATTCCCCATGAGCTCAATGGGAGCTCCCACAGCCCCTCAGAAGTGAGCTCAGGACTCATTTCTGCCCCCAGCCCCACGAACCGCAGCATGGGATATCCTCCTCGGTGGAGGAGGTCTGCGTATCCTCAGGGGAAGGCTTCTTCTTGGAGAAGCTGATGATCCTGGTGATCTTCTTCCCTGCTGCCCGGCTCATTGAGCCCTTCAGGTCAGCCAAGCCACTCTTCTTGGCTTTCCCTAGAAGAGAACAGCTCTGATAGCCCCCATCGCCCATCGCAGTGTCCCTGCTCAGTGGGCCAGGACGACATCCCGTCTCGCCTACCGTTCTCACAGAGCTCCCTGCGGGCCATGGGGGAGCAGGTCTCACCCGTCGCCACACTGTCTGAGTCAGAGGTGTGCTTCTCCTGTGACAGCCTCTGTGGAGAAGAGTGGGGCAGGCACTGGTTCAGCAGCATCCCTCTGCCCAGCCCCAAGCAATGACCACGCATGGGCTTTTGTCCCTCCAGCACAGGGCTGGGACATGCATTCTGTGCTGGGAGCCCATTGGCCCTGCAGACTTGCTGTGAGGACGGAAGGCCACCAGCCCCACATAGCATGTGGGCCAGTCCCTGTCCTCCCAGCCACAGCCAGAAAACATCACCTTATCCAGGTCCATCTTGCAGGGCATCACTGGGGACGTGGGGACTTCCATCCCACTCGTTCCTGCAGTGCTTGCTTCCTTTATCACCTGCAGAGAAAGGCCTCTGAGTAGCCCCTCACAATGGGCTGGGGACAAAGGCAACTGTCCCCACACTGCCAAGCTCCCAGTGCACAACCCAAGTCCAGTTGGCCACTGTGGTCTCTGCAGCACCTGCAGCACCTGCAGCTCTACTGCCCGCCACGAGCCCTGCTTGGGGCACAAACCCTGTTTGCTTGAGGCCCTTCCAAACAACAACTGCTGTTGAGATGCATGGTCAGAGGGCTGGACATGAGGGATCTGGGAGCTGCCAGCACTACACACCCCGCTGTCCCCCATGTCACAGTTCTTACAGGAGAGGCAGCACAGCCCCTTTCTCAGCCCAGAGCTCGCAGCAGAGATGGCCCCTTCCTTGCCTCCCACACCCAGAACAAAGGCAGGAAAGGGCCACGAGGAAGAGGAGGGGGTGAGCAAACATCCCCACTCCACTCCCTGGTGAGGGGCTCAGGCTATCGGCACAGGAGCCGCCCAGGGCTTGGGAAGTAGCTAGCCAGCCGTCCCCACGGCTGATAAGACCCAGAGGAAAACCCCCTTCCCTTTTTCCTTCCCAGAACAGCCAGAGGAAGGCTATGAGTGAGGGGGAGGCAGCAGTCTACCTTCAGCCATTCTTCAGCCTGCTCCTTGCTCTGCACAGCCAGCACCAGTGCCTCAGCCCCAGGCAGTGAGAAGCGCAGCTCGTGCTTCTTGCGTCGCCCATCCTTGGGGACATAGATGACATTGCAGGTGCTCAGGGACACTTCCACATGTGGCTGCCGGTCCTTGGAGCTTTTGTAGCACTGGGAGAAGCAAAGGGAACCACTCAGGGCTCAGCTGATGCTGCTGCCATGCCCAGGATGGTGGGTAGGGATGAGCAACCATGCAGCCAATGGCACAGATGGAGGTGGCTGTGTCTCTGCTATACAGACACTCAACAATACTAGGGCTGCAGGATGCCCTCTCCCTTTCCTTCACTAGCCAAGGGGCCCCAAAAGCAAGGAGCCCTTTGTTTGCATGCAAAGGAAGCAGTAGCAACCCCCGCATGTGCTGTTGGTTGGTCGCAGTCTTGGAGCAGGGTTTGCTGACCTCCCCCTAGCCCACCTGCAGGTCTCTTCCCATCCCTGGTGCCCCACCAGCACCGGGCTCACCAGCAGTTTGCCATCCCGTATGATGGTGAGCTGCTTGGCCCACTGCCCGAAGCGCTTCTTGCGCAACAGGAAAGCGCAAATCCTACAGTCCTTCACCAGGTTCATGGAGGCTTCTTCTGATGGCCACTGGTGTGTCAGCTGCTGGCCTTTCCCCTCCTCCTCCTCTTCGTCATAAGATTCATAGGAGCTGCTCATGGCATCTGAGTCGTTGTCTGGAAGGGAGTAGGCAAGTCACCCCATTCAGATGGAGCAGCTCCACATCCTGCTCTGAAAGCATTGCTGCTTTGATCCCTACTAACTACTCCTATGTCCCCCATTTCCCCTTCTCATTACTCATGATGCTTGCAGGCCAAAAGCCAGTCCCAGGCATTCCTGTCCAAACCCCAGGGCTGGCTTGTTTCTTTGCAAGTCTCACACTTTTAAAGGCTCCTGGTGCAGCAGAGAGGAGCAGGTCAGGAAAGCTCAGTGCCTCCCCTCCTGCCAGCACTGCAGCCAGGCACAGCCACACTGCACCTTCAGCACGTAGCAACTCTCAGTTTTGCTTGAGCCCATGTCTCATGCCCACTTTGCTGAAGCTCTTCGCTGCCTGGTGAGGGCACCCGGGTACCTACAAGAGTTCTTCTGCTCCCCGTTCATCCTGGTGACGGGGTAGTTGCTGTCTGCGTCCTCATAGTAGCCATCCATGATAGAGTTGGGGGGGCTGGAGCTGTCTGCAGGGGAAGCAGAGGATGGCCAGGGCTGTGGGTAAGCCTGCAGTCAGGCAGAGCAATGTGCACCTGCTGCAAGTGCACACAGGCACCAAGGCTGTCACATCTGTTCACTGCTCCCTCCCCACCAAGGAGCAAACAGCCTGGTGCAAAGCAGCACGGTGGGATGGGAAATAAGTGGATGTGGTGCAGTGCGGGTGGTTTCCTTCACTGGGAGGGTCTGGCTCTGCCTGTTTGGCTGTGGGGCAGGTGGGATGCAGCAGGAGCAGGACTCACTGCGGGAGGTGATGTACTCGGGGGCCTTGCCCGGGCCCAGAGGCAGCGCTTCCTCATAGTAATCCTCAGGTGGGGGGGTGGTGGGCAGAGGTGGAGGGGGGTCTGCAGGAACCTGTGGCAGAAACACCAGTGAATGAGAGGCCATGCATCCCCGAGGGGCCAGCAGGCACTGTGGTGTGAGAGGCAGGAGCAGGTCCCACCTCCCTGTGCTGGTGCAGAGTTCAGAGAATTGGGACATACGCTCTTTGCTGGCTGGCTCCTCGCAAGCTCCACACTGATGCTGTCACCAGTATCCCCATCATCCTCCTGCATGTCCCGGAGATCCCGCAGGTCACAGTCTGGATTGGGAGGAAGCGATGAGAGTGAGGGAGTAGCAGGACCCTAGAGATGGGCATCCATGTCCCCAGGCTAAGCACCCAGGGGCATGGGTATGGGGCAGCAGGAACAGGCGCTCAGGATGACAATGCCCTCCCCGGGCACAAGGACGCAGCTTCAGCCTCCCTCCTGCCCTCCTGAGAGCCCCCATGGCCAGCTGGGAGCCCAGCTCAGCACCTGATAGTGAGACCCCAGCACCATCCTGAGATGGTCCCACATACCAAACTCCTCAAAGAGAGACTCCACAAAGCTGGTGCCATTGCTCAGGGAGGCCGTGTTCACATACATGAAGTCTGTGTCCTTCCCTGGGAGTGAGAAGAGAAGCTCAGTCTGGAGCAGGGCAGCATGGCCAGGCACCAGCACCTCTTGCCCCCTAGACATGCCAACTCATGGCCACAGAGCAGGCTGGGGACACAGCACCAGTGGGACAGCCACTGGGTGCCATGGCAGTGGGACACTGACCTGTGGGCGGCTGCAGCTTCTGCAGGATGGAGGACACAGCTACCTTCTTTTCCTGGGCCGTGGCACTCAGGTACTCGTGGTCCAGCAGCTTGAGCAGGATGCTGAGCTCTGGCAGGAGCTGGTCCAGCACTGGGGGAAGCAGAGAAAAGCCCATGAATGTAGCGATGTCAGGATTCTGGGCTTCACCCACAGCCCCTCTGCATGTGAGGAAGAGCACGCAGAGCAGAGGCTCAGCAGAAGAGGCAGCTGGAACAACAAGGGCACATGGGAGGCATGGGGCACTTTCCAAGCCAGCCCAGCACTCTTGCACATTTTGATTCAACTTTTGGCTCAAAACTGTGACAAGCTCAGGAACTGAATCAACCTTTGCCTTGAGGACATTCTCCCCCTAATCACAGCTAGGCATGAAAAGCACAGGGGCAACACCAGAGGTGCTGAAATAAATGTGCAAAAAGATTCAGAGAAGGCAGAAAGGGCTGTGACACATGGAAGACCCCCGTGGGGCTGAGAGCTCAGGGCTGTTTGCCAAGTGCACACGTGCTCCTTCTGCACACACCGGCACGCAGACGCTGGGATGCAGCCTGTGGGTGGAAACTTGAGCTCTGCAAGCTTGCTGGACTGCTATCAAAGGGCTCAGCACGTGAATATTTCCATGCAGATAACAGTACACCTCTATCCCACCTACAGTGTAGCACAGCTGCTGTGTGCTGCTGCAAGGCTGCACCCATGTGTAACACAACTCCACGTGCTTGAATTTCAGAGCAGGCTTACAGAAAAAATTAATCCCTTCAGGCAGTATTTGGCATGCTGGTGAGGAGGGAAGGGAAGGCATTGCCATACAGCACCCCTGCTGCAGTCACAGTGCTGGGAAGCAGCTCTGCTCAGCCCCTGATGGACTACAGGGCCCTGAGCATCCCTCAGTGTGCCTGTCTTGCCTGCAGAGCACCTCCAGCCCTGCTCAGCCCATGGTCTGAGACAGAGCCCTGCTGGTAACCAGAGCCCCAGAACAAAGCAGGGATGGGCTCCTCAGCTGCTCCAGCGTGCAGCTCTCAGGCTGTTCTCCTGATTTCTGCTGAGCAAAACAGAGCTGGAGACAAACCCCAGCTCCTGTGTCATGTGGGAAGCACCTGCAGCATCCAGGGCCTAGACAGCCCAGCTCAGAACACCAACAAATCTGTGGCTCTGGAGGCTATCAAAGTCAGGGGAAAAAAACAACTGTTTCTTTCAATGCAAGTGTGAGCGAGATCTTGGCAGCAACTGAACATCATCAGAGCACAGCTGGGGTGGCCCCGCAGCTGGCTGTGGGTCTGCAGGGACAGGGGAGAGGCCAGAGGGGACCGCAGTGGCAGCTGGGACGTGCTGAGTGATGGGGTGTTTGGAAAGCAGAGTGCATGCCTCATGGACAGAGCACACAGACACTGGGTGCACTGCTGGACCATCACTTCTCTGCAGGGACAGAGCAGTGGTGCTCGGAGGAAGGACTGTTTGCCTCAGAGCTGCAGGCAGTGCAGAGCCAGGCAGCAGTGAGGGCATGTTTCCCAGGGTGAGCGAAACATCCCTCAGCCAAAGGGGAGCCCAACGTGAGCCAGCTGATGCTGATCAGTGCCCAGCCAAGGCAATCCCCCCATGCAAAAGGACAGCATGCCTGGCTCCAAAGCACCGCTCCCCAGGACGCAGGGCAGGATGCAGCTCACATCCTGCTGCCTCTGCCGATGGTCTTCTATCTCCACAGACCTTCTGCTTCCTCCTCCTCCCCAGCGCCAAGCCAAACACCAGCACAGCCCTTCAGCATGACTTTGCCAGTGCCCGTCTCCCACAGGCAGACCCCAAGGAGGGCAGTGAGCACCAGTGAGTGGTCAGCATCTCTCAGCCCATGGAGAAGGAGAGGGCAGTACAGTGGGACCATGGCTCCTGCTTGAGCTTTGGAGCTGGAAAAGCAGCACACAGCACATAGGTGGTTGGGTGCTCAGCTCCCACTGTTCTCCCCTTCCAGCGAGGGGAGAGAGGCAGACATTCCCAGGATGCATGCAGAATGGAAATGGTGGAAACACACTGCCAGGTGAGACATCCTCCTCTGGCCAGCCAGGAACCAGCTGCAGGGCTTGGCAGAGTGCTGGGCTAGTGAGGAAGCAGCTGAGAAGAAAAGCAAGATGTCCCACCAGCGCCTGGGGAGACACTTACCCACTCCCTGCCCCAGCTCAGCAGATAAGGACCATGCCCTGTGCCCCCTTCTCACAGCACACTGCAGCCCATGGTGCATCCCCCAGGACATCTCCCATCACAGCTCTCAGACCTCTGTCAGGGCACCAGACCAACCGAGGGCCAAAGGGCCACAGAGCAGGCAGCGCCTTGGCAAACGAGTGCTCAAAGCAGAGCACTGAAGGCTCCTTTGTTCCTCCCCAGCTGAGCTGTCCCCTGCATCTCCCTTGTTACAGCTGCCCCCGGAGCCGAGGGGGGGTGAGCTGCTCAAAGGGGCCTTGATTTGCAGCGGGTGCACAGAGCCGAGCCTGCGCCTGGGGGAGCGGAGGGAGAGAAGAAATTAATTTCCTGCACTTGTTCAGCTCCCAGCCCACAGGAGGTTAATGAGGCGGCTGCAGGAAGCCAGGGGAGACTGCCCATGGGTCACTGTACGGATGGCACAGACGGGCTCAGTGTCTGGTGCCAGCGCACAGCCCACCCTTGGGCGAGCAGGGCACCGGCCGCAGAGAGCCCAGCCCGTGTTCCCTGCTGCCAAGCAGCAGTGCAGACACAGGGTCCCACCTGCTGGGTGCTGCTGGAGTTTCTCCTGCAGCCCAAACACCATGAGATCACTTCTCTGTGCTGGGTGCAGGCATCCTAGGACAGGGAGCCTTGCAATGGAGATGCGCTGATCTCCACGTCTACTGCAGCAGGGATGGGAAGATGTCAGAGGTCCCTGTGCCTGAGAGGGTTGGGAGCTATGGAGGCAGATGGCTTTAGCATGTGCTAAGCTGGGCTGGATAAGACACAGGTCAGCACTCCTGGGACAGGAGGTCTGGAGACCAGCACCAAGAATGAAGCTCAAACCACCACCAGGATGCTGCTGCTGCTCAGGTCAGCAGGCAGTGCTTGCTCTGCATCCCAGTACACCCCACAAACAGCAGCAAGCAGGATTCCCCTCTCCACAGCAGCACCCCACAGCACTCCCCACCTCATGCCCAGGCCAGCTCTATTCTTAGACTCTGTGAACACATTCCCCTTGGGAACCCGTGTCCTCTGGATTGGAGATAAGGCTCTGGGCGCAGCTGCAGAGCATGTCCCCTCTCCTCAGCCTCTTCTCGGTCACAGGAGCAAGCAGCAGCTCTTGCTTCAGCAACCTGCAGGGAAGTGGAGGAGGAAGAGGAGAAGAAGGAAGGGGAAGAAGCGTCTCCAGCCAAGCTAACACAGCAGTTTCCGTGTGCATGGACTGTCTGTCACAGAGACAGAGATAAGACCATGCACGTGTGGCTGCAAAGCAGAGCTGGTTGGCAGCCACAGCCCAAGGGAGCCCTGAGGAGGGGGAACAGTTCCAGGGAGCAGCACTGCAACATCGCTGCAGGGACTCAGCCTGTGGCTCCCTTGTCCCCTCCAGGCCCCGCTTCCTCCCACACCAGGTGGAGGCCGAGGGCGAGGGGGGCCGGGGGAAATCGGATGCTGGGAGTGACGGCCATTGTTTGTAGCTAAAATAAAAACTGAGCAAAAATAAATCCTTCCTGTTGGCGTGGGCAGGGCCCCAGGATGCTCTGCCTGCGGAGGTGCACTGCTTGGAGTCGCCACAGGCAGTAAACAGATGTTTATAGCTCCTGGGATGCCAGAAATAGGGTGGGATGCAGGAGGGGAGGGGGCCACTGCAGCACCTGAGGACAGTGGCACTGAGCACTCAGAGCAGCTCCGAGGGAAGGAAGGCTGGAGCCTCCCAGCCCAGTGCTGGGGGGCCATTCCATTCCCATTCCCACAGGACTGTTTCTCACATTCCCACAGGGCAGGAGGCAGGCGCACGGCTCCCACCATTGTTCCTCCACATCCATACTGCCTGAGGCCCTGCAGCATCTCAGCCCCGGTGGGCACAGGGTGAGCTGCACTGGGCTGGCAGCAAGGAGAGCCTGGAAAGTCCCCTCCTGAGTGCGTACCCAGCAACTTGGCACGCTGCAGCACAGAGGGTTTAAGAGAAAAGCAAGCCATTAATTATCACACTCATGCTCTGGAAATATCCCATAACAGTGGAAGATTTGCTCAGGGGCCGCTTGATGCCCATGAATCATCTCCTCCTTGTGAACAAGGGCCCCTTGAGAGGGGTGGGTGGGGGCAGTGTCTCCACTTCCAGCTCTGGCAGCCAGAGCCTGAGCGCTTCGGGCTCCTCCTGTGTGCCCCCCAGCCCCCTCTCCAACCACCCCCACAGCCATTAACCCCACCTTAGGGCAGGTGTCCCCAGCTCGGGGGTTGCAGCACCCCCAGCACTGAGGAGCACAGTTGGCTCACACCTCCTGAGTGCCCATTGCACCGCAGGCAGCAGGGACCTGCAGGACCTGCAGCACCCTGTGCGGCCAGGCTGCATTGGGCAAGGCAGGGGCACACATCTTCTGGGGAGTTCATCAATACAACTCTGCAGTATTTAGTATCCTCAGCTGATAGCCTTGGAAAAATCAGCCCTGGGAGCTGAACGTGCAGCATGCTTGCTCAAGGGAACAGGAGGTTCCCACAGGCAAAGCGACCACTGCATTCTCATCTTACAGCAAGGAGCCCACAGCTTGCTGCCCTCTGCCCTGCTCCAGCACTGGGACCAGGGGAGAAAGAAACATCGGGGAGACAAAGCAGCCAGAGAATGCTTTACCCTTTGAAACGTGCACCCCAGGCACTCAGGGCTGTGCTGACCACCAGCACACGTTTGCTGCTGCTGTTTTCAGCACGGCTTGAGAGAAGGGCCCTGTGCCTGGTCCAGCTATGTGCCAGCAGCGGCTCCCTCCTTGATATAAATAGCTCTGCTGAAATCCTTATCTGGCAGCCCTGCTCTCAGTGACCCCAGAAGCCAGCAGCTGAGCCGTGAGCCTGGCCCAGGGGGAGCTCAGATCATGCTCCAGACATGCTCTGCCTGAGCCCCCTCTCTCAGCCCCCTCAGGCCCATGCCCTGCCTGTTATGTGATCAGCAGAGCGCTTGCACCACAGCAGAACGGCTCCATGAATCTGAGCTGCATGGGTAATAATTAACAGGGGAATGATTGAATCACCCCCAACCACCTCCCGTGACCGAGGCAGATAAGGAGCCCTTTGGTGCCCCATGCTGGGGATGCTACCCAGGGGCTGCCCCCTCTGTGCTGACATTTCTCCATCTCCTGGAGAAGATTGTGGAGGTTTGTTTTAGCTCACCCAAAGCAAACTTTTCCCCTCTGAAACGATGAGGCTGCAGCTGCCCTGACCCCAGAGTTTTGTGCATCACCTTCTTTTACTGCTGAGTGAAGCAAGAAGATGAGCAAACAAAGGTACAGGGACACAGCGAAGCCTCTGGGTGAGGATCCCCTGAGCCCAGGCACAGCTCAGTGCCAAGGACACAGCTCTGTGAGCACACAGGGCTGCACTCAGGGGGTGACATTTCAGCAATCGGTGTGATGCTCTGCAGGGAGCCTGGGAGAAGGGAGTGGGGCTGGGTTGATAAGAGCTGCTGGCTGAGAACGTGTTTAAGTAATGAAAGGAAAAGAGAGGTTTGAGATGCCCTTTTAAAGGAATAGTCGGGCAGGGGCAAGACCTGCTGAGCAATGTATAAAAACAAGCTTCAGGCTGAGGAGAGATGTTAGGATTAGCCAGAACCCAGAATAAACTCTGCTATTTCCAAGTAAAATTTTGGCATTGGCCTCTTCAAAACCAGCCCTGCAGCAGCAGAGACAGCAGGATGCTGCTGTGCCCCCACACCAGGAGAGGCCCCAGCAGTGGGGCAGAGCAGCAGAGGATGGCTGAGGCACTGCCTGGTGCACACCCTGTGTGCAGGGGACACAGCAGGCACCTCCCAAATGGGCATCCCAGTCCTACGGATGGATGGAAGCTTTCTGTGTCCCAGGCATCACCTTTCCCCAAAGCTCCATACAGCAGATGTGCTTCTTATAGGAAAAGTGCCATGGGACCATCATGTACAGGAGGACACAGGACTTTCCCCTAGAAGGGGGCAGGCTGGGGGGGCAGAGGAGCTGCAGGAACAGGATGGGTGAGGAATCAGCCAGAGCCAGCTCTGCTTCTCTGAATACATCCAGCCATGCTGCGTGATGGGGACACCTCCTTCTGGAGGTGGTGGAAGGAGTAAAAACCAGCAGGGATAGAAAAATCCCATAGGGGCAAAATTGCTATGAAGTCAGTACCACAGAGCCAGCCCTGCCCAGCCCTGTGGGATGGACACAGTGGGGGCACCCATAGGGTCTCTGCACTTTGGGGGCCAGAGCTGTACTGCCGTAGCATCCTCAAGGGCAGGATAAGCGTGTTTGCTCAGCTGAGAACAGCCCTTCCGTTTCCTTCCATTGGTGAGCATCAGGTGCAGCGGCAAGGCCACCAGCCTGCAGCATTTCCTACCCACTTAACCCCTTCAGGGCAAGAGTGGAGGCAGGACAGCCAGTGCTGCATGGTAGGAAAGCCAAGCCCAAGCACACGGGATGGTGTGATCGCCCAGAAAGTGCTGATGTCTCCAATGGTGCCGGGACTGGTTCACCCTATCTGCTTTTAGCTTTGGCATACAAAAGCCAGCTATCAAACCTGTTCCTACACATCTCCTACTCCTGGCTCTGCCCTGTACAACCTCAGTTTCCCAAAGCATAAGATGACACTGGCATTGTGTCAAACGGGAGGCTGAACCTGCCGGACAATGAGACACAAATGGGCTGCTCTGCCATCAGCGAGTCTGGTGGGTCAAATGTTCAAAAGCACCCAGGAGAAAACCACAGCCACTGCTTGGGCTGCTCCTCATACACCTCCCCGGAGCTCTCCTGCTAATTGCCAGTAATCAGAGCACACAGCGGCGCCCAGACCTTGCTCCTATCGCTTCCAGGATCACATGCAGGCAAAACCCACTTCAAAAAAAAAAAAAAAAATTTTTGAACATAGAAACTCCTCCCAGATCTGTGCTCATTCCAAACTGTTACGAAATGCCAGTGTTTTCCCCTGCCTGCCAAAAGCCCTCCTTTGATGAGATGAGAGGCGTTATCAGTTAAAAATCGAAGGGGCTGAAGAATCCGAGGCAGGTTCCATAGGGTGGGACCACCAAATCAGAGATTTTCATCCTTCCCCACCACAGAGGCTGCAGATCATTAGCACAGAGGGACTGGAGCTCGCTGAATGCCACTGCTTTTGGCAGCTGGGGGTGATGACAGCCGGGTGTTGTTGGCCATGGCAGTGCCCGGGCTGCGGGTGGCAGGGCCCAGCACTATTCATCCCAGGGCTGGTGTGTGAGGCAGGGACAATGCAGAGCTCCTCGGGGATTTTTCTGACCAAGCTGCCTGTCCTGGGAGAAGGATATTCCATACAGAATGTATGTAGAACGTGCAGTTTTGCCATTAATTTACATGGGAAAAAGGTTCCTTCCACACAGGAGGAGATACTCGTTCCTTTATCTGTGCCAGACTGGACTGGTGTAGGGAAGAGTTAAAGGATTAGGATGTGAGTCTGGGATGTCAGAAACCACTTCAAGCCTCCACTTTGCAAAACTCTTATCTTGTGTCCCAGCAAGCAACTTGGCCACAGAACAACAGGCAAACACTGGGCCGAGCCCAGCTTTCACTCCCTGTTCTCCTCTACAAAGCCCTCCAACTGTTCAGGATGAGACAACTTCAAAACCTCATACAAAGCTTTCCTGGGATGGGATAAGGAGTGCCGGCCCTCCTGCAGGCAGCATTTTGGTGTATGCTGTGTAGCACAGGGCACGTCAGCATGCAGCTCAGCACATTTCCGCCGGAAAACAGCACTTCCAGGTCAAGAGCAAGCATTGGAAAGAGGCAGGTTTCCAGACAGTCCCATGCGATAGGAATCCCTATCACTGCCTGGAAGGTGCTAACACAGCATGAACCCACTGCTTCCCACCCTTCCCAGCAGCCCCAACGCTGCATGGGGCAATAACACACTGCCTGCCTGCACTGGGGCAGCCCAGGGACAGCTCATCCCCATTCCCTGGGCTATAAACAGGACCCCGCCGCCAGGCAGCTCAGCTTCCAGCGGAAGGAATGGCTGCAATGCGGGGGAGAGCTCGGCACTTGCCTGGTGCTAACAGCTGGCCCCAGAGCTCCTCGCCCCCTTCACCAGGCTGCATGTGGGGCTCAGGCAGCAGGTCAGGAATGAGCCTGGCTCCCTCCCTCCCAGTCCAATGCCTTCCCATTCTTGTGGGTGAGCTGGAGCCAAGTTTATCCCTGACACATCTCTGCTGGCTTCACTGGATTTAGACCACAGATATGGTGCAAGATTGAAATTCTCGTGGCACGAAAGGTCAGAGAAGAGTTATTAATGAGGAGTAGCAAGCACAGCCCAGCTGGAGCAAAGGCTCATGGCATGGAGCATCCCCAAATCACAAGCACATCCATAGCTCTCCATCGGCACAGCCTGGAGTAGCTGCCAGAGAGCACGGAGAGGCTGGGGACTGGGTCAGAGGCCCCTCGTCCACCAAAACTCCATGCCCTCCCTGCGCAGCTACAGCCTTAAAGGGATCCAGAGGCTCTGGTGATGAGCAGAAGAGTTCGGAGAAGGTTTACATTAGCAAAGAGCAATCCAAGTGCCAACAGCCATTCATTACACACACTGAAAGTAAAGCAGCAGGCACCTCCACCACTACCATAGAAGGCACCTGTGAGGGGGTAAAAGAAGCGGCACAGCTCTGCCTCAGTGGGGAAACCTATGCAAAGTGGGGCATGCCAGGCATCGGGGCAGCGGGCCTCCATCAGGTGTCATGGATAGGAACCTCTCCATGCACATCCTGTGCTGTGTCTGGGCTCATCTCTTCTAAGCCCCAGTATGGGCTTAGCAGCACACCGTCACCTCCCCACGATGGAGTCCTACAGCCCTCAGTGCTCATAATGTGGCGGGGAGCACTGCCCAGTATACATCTATCACAGGTGGGACATCCTCCCAGCAGCCTGCACAGCTTTCCCCTTTGCCCATCAATGAGGTCCTCTGGGCCCTGGCACCACGTGTGTTTGACCACACTCCTTCTGCAGAAGCAGCCTCCTTCAGAGCCAGCACTGCGGGGCAGGTGGGCTGGGTGAGCTGCAAGGGCAGGCTGTCCCTGTCCTCTCCTGTGATGCCAGGCAATGTACTCAGCAACGACACTGCGTGCTGCATCCCCAGAGCTGAACTCGTCACATCACATTTCTACTGCAGAAACACCATCCCATCCTTTTCCATTGGGAAAGGGAACTCCTGACCCTCGCGTCTCTCTGGCGCTGACCCCGAGCAGCACACACAGCGACTGCAGAGCCACATCCCCGGCATCATTAGCACTGCTGCGGCACCAACCAAGGCCGGGACCCGTGTGTGCTTCCCCACGCCTCCACCTGCTGCTGCACAGCCCCGGGGCAGCGCTCGGCACCGACGGGCAGCACCACGCCGCACGTTCCCCGCAGCGCAGGCACCGGACCGGGGCAGGTCCCGCTCCAACCCGACAGCCCCGGGTGCTCGGTGCGACGGCCGCGGCGCGGAAACTCTCCCTCCCTTCAATCCCGGGACCAGCTCCTCCTCGACGAGCGCACCGAGCGCTCATCCCCCGCACGCCCTCCCGCAAGGCGCTGCCGTTTCATCCGCCCGACCAACGCCGGCCCGCGTCCCAGCCTCAGGTGACGACGCGCACCGACCCCCGGCCCTTTCCCCCCGCAGCGCCCGGTGCCGCCGCCCGCGCCGTGCCCTCACCGCTCAGCCGGTCCATGGTCCGCACCGCGGGCAGCGGCGGCCGCCCCGGGAGGAGCGGACGGGCGAGTGGCGGCGCGGCGGTCCCGCAACGCCCCTCCCTCGGCGCGGGGCAGCACCGGCACGGCCCCGCCCTTGAGCCGCGCCTGCAGGGATGCTGCCCCGCCCCGCCCGGTGGCGGCGGCTCCGGAGCCGAGTCGGGGGCTCCGTGCTTCGGCCCCCCGTTCCCGGGGCTCTCCGTACCCGCTCTCTCCTGGCGTCCCTCGGCCCTGCGTTGCTGCTGTCGCTGTGCCCCGACAAGAACTGGCACCTGTAGTGCGGGGCACCGTAGAGCCGGCAGCCCCTTCTGGTCACCTGAGCAGCCCAGCCCTACTCCCCCCGCGCACAGCCCCCTAGAGATGTGCCCCCATTCGTCTCTCCCTTTGGGACTGAGCCCCAATTCCCTCTCAAAACAAATGGTCGCCCAGGGCTGTGGGCACAGGGCATGCCATCCCTATGGCACAGCCAAAGCAGCACCGTGGGCTCTGCAGCTGCTGTGAGGCACCCCCTGTTCTCTGGGTCATGGCAGTCATTCAGCACGTCCTGAGAGATGGCAGCCCGTGGGGTGCTGCTGGCTGGCTGCTGTCCCAGAGGTGTGTGCCGGGATTCTGGCCCAGTTATCCCATCGTTGCTATGTTGGGAGTGGCGAGGAACAGTTACTTAATGTTCATAAAATGTTTTGAAAATTAAAAGCTTCTCATTGTTGTGGCGTTATTATTATTATTATGAATTAACTGAAGCTCTGGCCTTTCCAGGCTTTATCTCTCACACTGCTGCTGGAAGTTCCTCATAGCCCCAAACAGCCGAGCTTGATTTAGGGAGCTGTAGTTTATATGGGTGAAATCATTATAAACCCAATTGGCTCATTACCGCTGCACTAAAGCCGACAGCAGCAATTACCGGTTTGCTATCACCACATCCACTCCCACCCTCAGCACACAGCACAGGGCTCCCAGAGCTGTGGCTGCTGCAGAGGGTCAGCACTGACAGCATCTCCCCACCCCACCACCTTCAGCCTCTAGAAGCCCCCAAAGATGGATGCAGAATCAAAGCTCAAGAAGAAAAGAAACAAAGAGCACAGAATTATCCGTGAGACTCCAATTCACTCTCAGGGGTGCAGAGGGCGCCTCTGCCACGTACAGTACTGAGAATCATACAGAGCTGCAATATAGAGATCTTTCTATGTATATATTTATAGGTATGTATATATTTATAATGCGCTGCCTTTAAAACAGCCGCGCCTGCTTCTTCAGCTCGTTCCTCTTCCAGAGGGCCAGGCGGTCGAACTCGGCGATGGTCATGCCAAAGATCTGGTAGAACTCCTCCTGGGAGAGGTGCCGCTGCGGAGAGAGGGGATGCTGGGCCAGGGCCACCATCCCAGGCTGATGGCAGTGCGGGGCTGCAGCTGGAGGGGGTCTGGCAGCAAGACCCCCCAAAGGGGCGCAACAGGGGGCTGCAGCCTGCAGCACTGCTCGCACAGGAGATGCTCCTCACATGCCCATGAGCCCCTCTCACTGCCCCATGTGAGCCAGGTAGAGTAAGCCCCAAGGACATGTGCCCACTGGGAGATCCTCACCTCTAACCGAGTCCTGTCCACGTCTTTGGGCAGCTGGTTCCTTCCCCTTGTCTTCACCAGGAGCAGCTCATAGGGGTAAATCTGTGCAGGGACAGCAGCACCATGGCAGCTCTCTACAGCCAGCAATGGGGCACCACAACAATGCCTCCCCCTGCCACATTTTGGGGTGCTTAAGTAGCACAGCAGGGCTTGGGTGGGACAGGGTAGAGAGTGGTTTGCTTTTGGTGTGACCCTAATCCACCTGTGTGGCTCTGAAATGGCGAGAGAAAGTTCTGCTACTCACTCTGCAAAGCCAGGAGTGACCCAGAGGTGAATGTGAGCTGGGAACATGAGCACAGCCACCCACCTCTGCCTCGTGCCAGGAAGACACTGCTGCCTAGCACAGGGCTGGGGACCCAGGCAGGAAGCCAAGGCTCTGGTGGGAGCCCTACGGTGCCGGGATGGGGCTGTCGGGATGGGGATGAAGGGGGATGAAGGTAGGGAGAGGGCAAAGCTTCTCTCTAACAGGGTCTGGGCACACAGGGGCACCTCTCTGGTACATCCTCTGGGTGTCACCTCCAGGTGGCAGTCACGCCTGAGAGCCATCTTACCTTGTACTCTGTGGGACACAAAAGAACAAGAGACATGAGCCACTGCCCCCTCCCCACCAGTGGCCCCTTCCCTTCCCCCCTCCTCCCCCCCCATTTCTGCCCTTGTCCCTCTGGCCTAGATCCCATTTCTGGAGCTGCCTGCAGCAGGGTGGCAGCCCTATGGCACCACTGGCCCCCCGCCCTGCCTGCTGCCCAGCCCCACAGCCTCACCTCGCATCCCCCAGTTGACGGCATTGGTGCTGTCATAGTGGAAAAGCTCTGCGCTGGGTGGCTGCGGGAGGGATTCAAGGAGAGAGGGAGGGGTGAGAAGGGGCCCCTCCAGACAGATTTCCTCCCAGCACAGCATTTCTCATGCCCCCAAAAGGGGAAGGGCACCCCCATGCCTGGCAGTGGGGAAACTGAAGCACAAGTGACAAGGAAGTGACAAGCCCAGGTCTCCTAAGCTATAGGGTATGAAGCAAAGCAATGTGAGCTGCAGGACAGGGATCGAGACCTGCAGTGGGGCAGGCACAGCTCTCCAGCAGTGCCCACTGAGGGTTATTTGGGACTGGCACAGCCAGGCGTGGCAGCAGGGATGCAGAGAAGGGAGCAGCAGGAGGCACTCACCCTGTGCAGCCCGTTCCTTCTGTAGGCAGGGAGAGAGGCAGACTTGGAAATGAGGGGATCTGGAAGGAGACCACCATGGAGCATTAGTGAGACTGCAGGGCCAGCCCAATGCACCCAGCAGCACTGCTGCCTGCCCACACCTCCCCTTTTCTGACACATCTCCTCGGCTACTGCTCCCATGCACGGCACAGATGTGCTCCTGACTCCCCAGGCCAGCTGCTCAGTCTGTTTGCATTTCCACTATTTCTCCATTCTTGTCCAGCTCCAAACTCACCTGGCTCTGTTTCCTTTCCAACTCCTCCCAGCGTGTTTCTCTCCCTGACGAGAGAAACACACAGCCCTCCCTCCTCCATCCCAATAGCCCCTTTCAAAATCTTCCTCCCTCCTTGCTCTGCACTGGCACAACACAGGGCTCCTTCTTCTCCCCACACCTCCCCAGTTCCAGCATGGCTTTCTGGGCTCAGCTCTCAGGCTCTGGTCTCCAGATCTGGGCAGAACCATGCCCCAAGGACAAGGGGTGGTACACTCACCACTGTCAGCCAGGTAGTGCATCCGGGGGGCTGCAAGGGGAGCACAGCCAGGGTCAGAGTGTTGAGCACTCTGCACCATGCAGAGATCCCTCCCCATCCCCTGGCCCTCCTTAGAGCTCCCCAAGCATCCCCACACAGTCCCAGCCCCATGAGAGCATGGGGACTGCACAGAGTCTCAGGAGGAAAGGGGCCTTCTGGGTGCATCTCCTGTTCCCAGCCCCTTCCTGTATGGGACAGAAGGACGGACAGTTGTGCTTACAGCCGTTGAGGGAGCCCTCATAGCCAGCCGTGTGCAGGGCTTCTCTGCTGCTGGCAGAGCTGCGGGGCGGGGTCCAGGGGTCTGCATAGGAGTTGGAGCGTGCCTTCATCTCCTCCCTCAGGATCAGCCTCCCGATGCCGCTCTGGATCTGGGCATGCAGAGAGATGGTGATGCCGGTGGGAAGCATCCCAGGGCACGTGGCACCTCTGGGCAAGGAGGTGACACACGGACTGCTCTGTGCCGTCCTGGCTCGCTGCCACCCTCTGTGCCCATCCCACCAGGCTGCAAACAGGGAAACCTCTCACCTTGTGCATGCCCCGCTCGTAGCCATCCTCTTCACCTCCTGATGAGAACCGCCGGGCTCGGGGGGCTGCAAGGAGACACGTGGGGTGGGTCAGATTGGGGCAGAGACAGGAGACAGCACCCAGAGGCACGGGAATAGACAGATCCCAAGGACTGCTGGGATTTGGGGGTCACTCTGGTACGTATCTCAGCTCAACCCCATCTTTGGGTCCAGGTGCAGCGCAGGATGATGCCCCTATCTGTGGGTTTCCCGTTCCCACAGTGCCACAGATGGCTGTTACCTTTGGGGGATCCCTGGAAGGACCAGTACTCTGACTCGGAGTGGTAGTAGGGGTCGGGGGAGTAGGCAGGGCTGTACTTGGATGACTGTGCAATGTCCTCACTGGTTTTGCTTTTGGTGGCTGCAGGGATGTTGTCTGCAAAAGGAGAATGGAGAGCTGTAACAGGGACACCACATTTATAAAAGTTCTACACCAGGATGAAAGCAAACCCTCCTCTCTTCCCAGCACTTTGTAACAATTTGTGTTTGGGAGAGCTCAGAGCAGAGCTGGAAATAACCCATTCTCAAATGGCTGACACCTCCTGAAAACAAGGATGCAGTGGCAGACAATGGTCACCAGTGCAGGGTCTGGCACTCCAGCAGCCTCAGTGCCAGCAGCACCATGTCCCCAGGCTGCCCCCTCTCCAAGGGCTATGGCTGCAGAGGCACACAGCAGGGCTCACACAGGAAGGGATGGAGGAGGGCACAGTCCCTCTAGGGCAGCCAATGGGTCACTGTGGAGAGCAGAGGTGGGAACCCAGCAGCTGGGGAAGGGGTTCAGCCCCAAGGCCAGGACACTTGTAGGGGATAGGCACTGGGAACGCACACAGCTCCTAGAGCCTTCCAGCCATCCTCGATGGCTGTCCTGGGGGCAGCAGGGGCAGGGAGGTACAGGCAGAGCCCACCACCCAAGCACAGGGTACCTCACCGACAGCAGCTACTTACAGCAGAGGTGCAGGCAGACAGCAAGGCAGTGGGCAGGTGGGAAAGGGAGCCCACAGAGAGAGAGGAGACACAGTTACTACTTTGGGCAGCTGCAGCCCAGCTACACATG